TCTTCAAATAAGCTGTAAACTTATGCAAAGAAAAAAAAAGTCAGAAGAAAAAGTTGTTAGATTGTGTTTTTCAGCAGTTTTCCATGTTCCCTGTTTGATATTCACCTGAAAACAAAGATGTGCATAACGGGAGACCGACACATATAAATCAAACATAAGCATGAAGGATATGAATAAGAACGCAAACCATCATAAGTGACAAAATCACCTTCAAAGTCACATTCATCCATCAGGCTGCTGCTGCTGCTTCCAGCCGTCCTATCTGCATCATAAATCAGTGTCATGCAAACATGGAGATTATGGAGAAGACTGTTCAAGATCTCATGTAAAAATATATTGTCTTTATTCTTCTTTTATTCATGGAGTTTGTTTGGTGTGTACTGCGTTGCCTGCACATTTACGTTTTACGTCTATTGGTAATGTAAGCTCCTAAATGACACAGTGAAACAGCTGACTAATGTTCCTAAACTGCACTGCAAATCTCTGCTAAACAGGCTGAAGTGTTTACATCCTCTGATAACCAGTAATTACTACATCAAGGTTCATCTGTCTGGGGGCACTGCTGGAAACGGAGCAGATGAAAGCTTGAAGCGTTAAAGAATCACACAGTGTATCTGTCTCTGTATGTGTGTGTGTGTGTGTGTGTGTGTGTGTGTGTGTGTGTGTGTTTCCTCCCCAGAACAGTTTTCCTATTAGCACCAAAGCTCATCCTCATGCACTACAGTCTCTTTGCCAAACAACAAGAGGCTGCAGCAAAGCACAAGAGCCACTTCTAATCAGCACTTCACGGCAGCAGCCCAGAACTATTTCATGGAAAATTTAGAATGGCTAAATAAATAAAAAACACATAAAGAAGTAAAGAGATGTACATTTTCATTGAGCATTTATTATTAAAGTATTAATTTATCAGTTGTCTTTGTATGTATGACATTTAATGTCTCAATATATATGAAGCAGACTGGCATGGTCATCTCTTTCTTAGTGCTTCATATACAGAAGTGGATGTATAACAGCAGTGAACTTGGTCTACTTAGTGTAACATAGAACTGGAGGGCTGGCATGTATCAAAACACCCTCTTTTCATCAAAAGGAATGCAGCCTTGTAAAACCCTTCAAACTCTGTAATCTCAACACATTCTGCATATAAATGCAGAAGCTGTCGGCAACGGACTGTAGGTGTCTGAATCCTATTGACCATTCATGTTTAAGCCTGCTTTAGATACAGTCTACAGGGCAAACAACAGAGACAGCCTTGGCTTTAATGACATCTTTGATCCTGTCATCCTGTCAGCTGAGACAAGATACTAATTTGAACATCAGTTCTCAATCAATATTTAAGTTCTGTATTTACACACAGACATGACATCAGGGTTGATCTTGAATCCCTCTTGAAGATTAAGTCAATTAGTGTGAAACCAGGATAAACGCAATAACTAAGGTGACAGTCATCACACTGATTCAAATGAACCACATTGATTGGTCAGACTGGTGTATGTTTTGAGGATATAAAGACATTATGTGATCTGCAGTGGAAGCAGTTTAAATGCAGCAGGAAGACTGATGACAGGAAGCAACTTTACAACTAGGAATTTAGAGATTTTAAAACGCTTTTTTAAGTGTCTTGCCCCCAACCTTCTGGTTGAGATACAGCCAACTCTACCAAGTGAGCCATAACCGCAACCCCATCTTGGGGCGGAAACATTTTTATTGGCTATATAAAACGTCATGAACTTTCTTTCACATCACATTTTTATCAACTGGGTTTTGTTTATTGTCAAAGGTACATTAAGTGCTCTCATGATATCACATTCATTTATTCAGTCACTTCATCACATTCACAGTGCTCTCTTTACACCGGCAGCTGTCCACACTCCACTGAGTGCTGTTTATTTCATCTCCCTGACACTCTTGCTTCTCCCCTGTCAGGATCACAAATCTGCTGCTCTGCAACACAAACAGGATCTCTATGTGTGTGTCCTCCGCAGAGTGGACATACACCCAAGCATAAAGGCTCATCTCACACATAATGGCAGGTTAATTGTAGCTGTCTGGTTTAGTTGGTTGAAATCAATAGTGAATCCAGCGACGCACAGTGTGACAATGGTGTAATAGCCAAGGCTTTAATACGGGATGACACGCCCAAATAACTATCACAACAGCCGGTGTTCAGACAGGCGATGGCAAAAACCTATTTAAAGAGAGAACATCAGCAGCAGATTCACAGATTGCTGTGTCTATATCAGCAAAGTCTTCAGTTCGAGTTTTCAGCCATGAAAGTATAACATTCAATAACTAAATTCCCGATGTGAACATGTTACATCATACTGATAGTTAACAGATCAACATGTTCAAACCGCATACTGACCACCAACGATAATCAGGTAAAATGGCGTTCACCATTTGTTGAGGTGGAGCTCACATTGAGTTTGGTGGGACCAATGGGAAAAGCTTTCTCTGTGTGCAAGAAATTACAGAGACAAGCAAATCCTTCTTGCTTTGCCTGAGGACTTTCTATATGAAAGATACTATTACAGTTTACTCTTCTCTTGTACAGTTTGATTTTCTGTAAATGCTAAAGGCTATAGATTTGGAAAAATGTGGTTGACATGTAATGTCAATAACCACCGTTGTATGGCCACTTATTGAGACAAGAACATGATTGCTGTAGTTAGGCTTAGTGAAACCAGATATTTTTACAAGCTGCAGGGAAATAGAGGAACTAGACCTAGATGCAGGCACATAAATACGGGCAGGCAGGCTGATGCAGCAGACTAAAAATATGAAATGTCAAAAGAAGAGAATGACAGGCAGGCAAAAATATTCAGGCTCAAGAATAACCGAGCAAACAGATGAAGAACCAACAGCAAGAACTCACACGATAAACTGGCAAACTAAAAGGGCAAAATGGCTGGCCATATGCAGGGGAGCTGACAAAGAAAATATGGAACAGCTGTGTGTGAAGGAGACAACAGGCAGGTGAACAGGTGAAATAAAGAGGGTGTGGCAGGCAATCAAACAGGAGGGAAACCACACACAAAGGCAGGAAGCTAAACAGTGGAAGACACGGAGGAGAGAGACGAGAACTTACAAAACAAAAGAGGAAACACAAAGATCAACACAGAAAATGAGTTTAGAAACATCAGGGTAGTTAATGACCACACTGAAAATGTAATCTGAGCCATGAAATAAATAGAATGCTTAACACAAGAAGAACAACTTAAGAGAGATGACACATATATTCATATAAATTACTAAGAGGCAATTTACAGCCCTGATGAGTACCTCTTATGTTGTGTTGATTTGATAACACCCCATTATTTTTACCATTTCTATATAACAAGCTTATTAAAGGCGCAAAGACATAGTGACACAGACCTCAGCAGATATGTTCGAAAACAAGCAAATCAATTAAAAGTGTAAAAATGTTCTTGTCCATGAAATAACTTGTCTATTTTGTCAGAATAAAAGTCAACATTTGGAAGAAATGGAAGATATACATGTAAGGATTTCTTGTTTGCTTAATAGTCACAGGGGCAATTATCCTTTAATTGTTGTTGACTATATTTTCTGAAAGATACAATAAGACATCATGCTCTGTAACCAAAATATTGTTACCCACATGAAAACTAAAGCCAATTTCTGTCCAAAGGAGGAACTGAATCTCAGCTCTCCTGTCAGCACCTGCCCAGCTGTCTCCTCTGTCTCAAGCTGCTGTCCATGGTGCTGAATCTGAAACATCCCACTCGGAAGTACCGCAACTGTATGAAGCCCCTCAGACATACATATTGGTTGTGTGGGTGCACTGAGAGACTGTAACACAATAGAGAAAATCATTCTGAGACTTTCATAACAAACCATGACTGACATTTAATCCATTAGCAAAGCAGACAGACCTATTATGAAAGCTGTCATAGCAAAATAGAGATGCATGGAGCTTAATCTATCCAGAACAAGCTATCAATATATTAATAATGTATAGCTTCATGTAAAAAGAAATCCTACCCATTGCTGCTCTCTGCTTACCTGTTTTATGATTTAAATACACATCCAGCTGCTTAATACACTATGTCAGCTCGTTTGATTTCTGTCATGTGGTTTGCATTGTGGTGAGTGGTTTTAGTTGATTTATTGGTTCAGTTGATTTTAAGATGGTTATAACAGGGTTGAAACATTAAAATACATATCATAAACCCTCTCTTCTTTTTTTTTTTAAAGCTGTAATAGTTATAACTCTGGCTCATTTGGAAGGAAGAACATGAAACTAAACACAGACAATCAAAGTTGACATATCCTGCCAACTGTGAACATTATTACAATGTCCATTGAGTCCCATGTTGAGCTGCAGACTCAAGATTGGGGAGACTATGATAAAGAATTTTGCTTTTTAAAACAACTGAGTGCTGCTGCTTATGGGAGAGAGAAAACAGACAGTGAAAACACAAAACAATGAGCTAAAATAAGCTAGGTTCTATTTTTAGTCCCAGAGCTGGCATGATATGAAATATACCACAGCCGCTTGATATCAGCCATTAAATATGAATATAAAAATAATGATTATGTCTTGGCTTATTTACACCGACCCCTCAAATAGCCTTCTGTTATAACTTGACCTTGGAGTCAGTTTGCTGTAATAGTTTTTATTTTTATTTGTCTGTGTAGGCAATAACTATTTCACAAATACGACATGCTTCACCTAAGTTGGCTAAAACAAAGCCCAGTTATAGGCTTATTCAATGAACTCTTAGAATCAGTGTAACAGCATAAAACAACAACCAATAGGTTACAACAATAACAACACTTTTGGATGCTGGAGTTGTTAAAAAAACACAACATGCTTCAATCAGAATGCTGACACATGCAAGAAACAAACAAAAGAGTAAATTCATTTTATTTGCGCTTTTATTTAACAATGGAAATGGGAATTCCTCCTCAGTGTAATAAAAAGTGTGTGCGTGCGGTAGGAGGGGGGGGGGGGGGGTTCGGAAAGGGGCGGGGAATAAGCCAACATCACAGGCTAATGCAGTTTCCCACCATGCCATTAATCTCCGTCTGTGGACCGTCTGATCGTCACACAGGTTGCCTTCATCCGTCCTGTCACCCTTAGGACTGCGTGTCGGACCTGATCTCTGGGTGTCCCCGGTAACGGTATGAAATCGACACACTGAGAAAGGAGCATCTCCTCCTTGTCCTTTTTCTCCTCCAGAAGCGGAGCACGGCTCTCCTTCTCCTACCGGCGGAGAGATGAGGAATCGACTGGCCGATTTAGCCTTGACATTCTGGCTATTTCTAGAGGTGAGAGATGCCTCCCATTTTTTATTATCACGAGATATAAATAGAGCTTTGATAGACATGCGCGTCTGGTTGACTGCAAAGTGCTCATCTGTGAGCGTATTTATGACGCAAAGACAATAAGTCGTTATGTTCTAATGGTTTATGGCTCTGACAGCGGGCTGCCTGTGATGTCGCTCTGATAGGCTACGTGCTGCTTTGCTTTGTTTTGAGAGCGTTGTTCGCCAAACCCCATTCAAAACTACTAGAATTCAATATCCCTTTGCCTGACTCCACAATCATACACATTTTAAATAATAAATGGATGTTTTTATCATATGGATGCCATCTTTTGGTAACTTCGGCATGCAAGTGACACACATGAAAACACTTAATGTCGGTAAATCTTAACTTTTAGGTTGGCTGATGCCGTTTCCATCCACATTCTCTGTAAATAACACGAGAAAGATATGACATAGGGGTGATGCTGATTGGATCATATAGAAGCCCAAAGTCGACTGAAGACAAAAACATTTTTTTTTTTTTTTTAAATGATGAACCCCCCCCCTCAAAAAAAATGATCTGGTTAGATGCTCTACAAAAACAAAGCTACTGGAGCTACCTGCGATTGTTTCATCCTTTGTCCTTGTGCCCAGACCCCCAGAACAACTCAGTGGGTTACTGGGCCTGTAGGACAACACAATCAAAGGGATAGCTATAGGCCTACAGAAGGCAAGGAGACTGAAGCCAAAGGTAGGAAGTACCTACCTTTCTTTTTCTTTATTCATTGATCGAGTTAGGAAGCCAAAGGCTGGAAAGCCAATTTAGTGGCACCACAATCTACCCATTTTCTTAACATGTGCACCTTTAAAATGAGCAGTAACATGTTCAGCCATAGGAATGTTTGCTATATGTTGTATGCGATTAGACTGACGGATCATTTAGGGACAATAAAAACATGACAATGAGTTCCAAGTTTACAGGCCTCTGAAGGTAGCACAAAGTGGTCACGATCCCCACTCTTCCTGCCAGTCCAGTACCGCTGACACTCATGTCTATTCATGTATTATTAACTCTGATCATTACTATTTTATTTCATTCAGCTGACTTAGTGAGCACATCCATTTTGAATGTGAGCATGCAGCCTAGAGGGAGTGAAGCCCTTAGACCACATCTTGGTGCTGCTGTGTTCACTTTGATAAGTGCTTCTGACAAACCTCTCTATGTTTAGATTAAGACTGATGATGTCTTGTTTCAGAGCTTTGAACATCGCAGAGAGAAGACTCTGTGAGGAAATACGCTTAAAACGTCTCTGCAAAATGTCTAAGGAAGCTGTTTAAGTTTAAAAATGTCAGGGATGTTGAGATTGTGATCATACAATCACACAGATCATTTGGATTAGTATAGCTTTTTGAGGGTATTCTTTGTAATCAAAAGTTCGGCTAAGTCTTGCGAAAACTGATAAGAAGCACATTCTTCATGTCTATTGTGCACACCAACAAGCAGCTTTAGATTCATATCATCATAATGAAGTGTCACACCTTGGAGCTACATGTTTTATTGTCTCCTTTTTAAGATTTGTCTGTGACAATTTTTGCATCGTGAGTAAGAGCGCTTAAAACTGGTCTCATTGATGATCTGAGGGCACAAACCCATGTTGGGTATTGGTTACTGATTTTAGCTTGGCTGTAAACAGTGATACGAGGGTCCATGATAGTTGCTCCTAGGCATGTTGAGTTATTTGTTGTTTTGGACAGAGCTGTTTGAATGCCCAAAGCCCCCCGTGCATCTTCACACTACACACAAGCATAAAGGTGCCCTGTAGAGTTTTCTTGTAACTGATCAATATTTAACAGTGTTGTGACATGAGCAGAATGTTGCGCTCCTCATCAGGTTGTTGATATTACCAAACTCCCAGAAGGGCATAGTTTCACTCTTTGAAAAATAACAGTGTGTAACTCATTTTTATTTTGTGCCTTTGAGATAAGATAAAATGTTTCTCAGGGATATATAGGGCCCGACCGATATAAAGGAAAGAAAAAATCCCACACCGATATATTGGCCGATATCTTTCTAAGATCTATTTTCAGACTGTAAAGATAAATATAGATTAAAAAAAAAGTTCATTGTGTTGATCCCTCAAATGCAGTTATGAAAAAAACACTCATGGAAAAAATGTATAATGAAGACAAGATGGTCACTCAAATGGAAAGTAACTGTGCATGTACGTGCATCGTCGCTCGGCACTCTGGAGGGTGATGATGCTTGTTGTAATCTATATAGCTCACTCTGCTGGTGACAGAGAACTGCTAATGTATGAAACTTAAATTGAATGCTATTTGACTGGTGAATAAATCTCGTAGGCGATACAATAGTCACTGGGTAAGCTAATTTTTCGGCCGATATTATCGGCTGGCTGATTGGTAGGGCTATAATATTTACTTTCAGTAACAGTGTGATAGCTGTTTTTAAGTGCTTCAGTACATACATTTGCTGATTGGAAAGCAACATACTAAAAGACAGTCTGGTATACTTGATCAATATCACACAAGAGGAAGTGATGTTGTATACTGAACATCAGCACTGTTAATGTTAATTGATGGTATTCATAAACCACGGTTGAGTTGGAGTGAAACACATAGGAAAAGCTCCTGTGATCCTTCTTCCTGCATTTCCCTCTATCCCACTTTCCGAGGCCAACACTGTCTCGATTGATGGCTGTTCATCATGGGTCTGGTATTTGCTCGAGGTTTCTGCCTCTTAAAAAGACTCTTAAAAAGTCTTGCCACTGTAACTATGCTAAATGTTGCTAAGTGCTCATGATGGATTAATGTTGGGTGTTTATAGATAACATAACAATGAATAAAGTCTTGTACCTGCTTTTTTAAAGTGTCTTGAGGTAACATTTGTTATGAATTGGTGCTAGACAAATATAGATTGATTTATTGATTGATTGATTGATTGATTGATTGATTGATTGATTGTGGTGTCAGCACTCAGAATGCCTATTGTGCTTTTAGATAGAGTATGAATTAACTGTGTAAAGTAAGACGAAATAACATTTTACATACAACAAAAAAGAAAAGGACAGAAATAGTTTTATTTAAAAAAAACAAATACATACATAGAGATTGCATAAACACATGGGCAACTCCAGTGAAACTGCAACATGCACAAATGCAGCCTCCTCATGTCTGGAGCTGTAATGCTAATCTTCCCCACTGACAGTCAGATGGGCAGTTAGAGCTAGAGCTGTGACATACAGCTCATAGAGATTATTGAAGTAGGGTAACTAATGCCCACTGATTCACTGAAGCTTGGATATAGATGTCAAAAGCACACTCCTTATCTGAGTCATAATTCAGTCAATCATAAAGAAGGACAGAATCATATTGGATCCAGTGAGACTGGGGCACTTCGATGACTTGTAGTTTTTTTTGCGGGGTTTTATAAGATAGAATTATCTTGTTTTTCAGTCTGTTTCAGTGCCAAAGAAATGTTGTGACAGTTGTTTGGATATCTATAGGTGAATTGTGAAGAGGAACTGCTGATAGTTAGTTTCAGTTGTGACAGAGGGGCTCCAGTTAGAGCCCAATAGAGATGGCTCACTGAATCCGTGGCAATGTTATACTAACATTAAATCTTGACGCATTATCGGAACTTTAATGTAAAAATGCAGTGTTGACTCTGAAAAGAAGAGCTGCAAACACCAATGGAGGATGGTCTGACTCTGGAAACCTCTGATTTAGTGACATTTAGTTGGTGCTGTTGGCTGCTGGATCGTAATGTCATTTCTTCTCCCTGTTTTTTTTCTGTCCTCTAAAGATATTATCAAACACCTTGTTGCTACAAACATTAATTTTTGTATTATCAGTACATTCCAGTTTCAAAAAAGCCTCTCTTATGCTTTTGTCGGCTCCTCCTGAACACAACAAAGAGAAGCAGCACCTTGTGCTAGAGCATGCTCTTTGTGTGCAGTCATCCAGTTAATAAACCGATTTCCAGGCTTGCATGGATGTCTCTGCTGTGCCTATAATTAAAAAATAATTGCCTTATCACGCAGCCATACGATCAAGGATTGCTCTCTGCTGTTTGTGTCCTCTCCGTACAGGCTTTGAAACGAGGAAATAACCAGTAGCCTATGCAAATCACATGTTGTATTGTAGAAATAGATTTTTTCCAAATCCTAGAGTGAAAAGTGATGAGAAATCTGGTTTTATTCCAGAAGGAAGGAAACCTTAGTGAAAAAAAATCATGTGAACATTTTAAAGAATGCTAATCATGAGAGCTCTAGTTTGAAATCTAACCTTCCTCTTCAATCTGTCATGTGTCTGACTCCATTTGTCTAGATAAAGATTGTTGGATTTTCAAATTTGATATTCTTTATATAATAATTCACATTCAAACATCTTGACAAACTGAGGTCAGTCCAGTGGTGAGCTTTAACATGGGACAGGGAGATCAGAGAGAAGGGGGGAGATGTGACATGACAGAAGAAGAATGGGTGGATGCATGGGTTAACTGCTGTTGTTTTCTGTGTACGTGTTCAGCAAAAGAGGACTACCTTGTGTTTTAGAGAGAATAATAGATTAGCCTCGACAGGAGACACAGTCAAACCCCATTCCAGTTAGTTCTTTACTTTGCTTGCATTTTTGAACAGGAAATGGGGTCTTGGTTAATCATCCAACATAATCCATTACCATGGTGACCAGATTGCTGTCTTAGTGATCCATGGTTCTAGTCGGGGCAGCACAAAATTACATTTTCATCAGTATAAGGATACACTCTTAGAAATTCCCCCTGTTAAAAAAACGGTAAACAACTGGCAGTAAATTTACAGTTTTCTACCGTTTTTGTAAATACAGCAAAAAGCTGTGATTTTAAACCTTAACAGGAAAATACTGTCGAAAAAGAATTAACTGTTTGATACTGTTTATTTGCAGATTTTTACTGTGAATTGTAAATACTACACCTAGCAATAGATTAATTTCCTTCTACCAAAATGGACACAATGTATTTATTTT